AACTGCCTGGATCCTTTGTCTATTTCTCTATGTCAGTCTTCATAAAAACTGTATGGAGTATGACTATTAGAATTGATTGGCTGCAGTTTGATCTTTTAGGTGACATTACCTTAGGAACTTATAAAGCTGGTACTTACATTCAAAGGTAGTTACTTCAAGTAGCCTGTGGGTATTTGGGGAAAAAACACCTCGTGATTGGGCTTTTGGACTGATTAGTCCTGTTCGGAAATGTTATATGCCCTTTATTTTAGGCTGTAAACTTAACATGGAGCTTTGGAGCTAGGCTAGCATATCAAAAAAATGCTCCTGTCACAAAAAGTAAAGTTTAGCATCAATCTAAATGTTACATCGAATCCATTTAGCCAGGCAGGAGGCTTCCTTCTGTTCTCAGCCAAGCTTCTTTTTGCTGGTTATGAATATCCATGTGAATTGTCAAGGTTCTGTCCTTTTGAGGATCAAAATTCATTTTTGAAGAAAATGTGGGATAATTTCTTTTAGATGAGCAAAGACTTCAGAACCTATTCCTTTTAAGTTTATATTGCTGCCAAGAGACTACATTATATCCCAAGCAGCTCTCATCACTGGTTTCATTCTGGTGAAGCAAGACTGAGTGGCCTTTGTCTCTTTTCAGAGTATGAAACATGGACTGACCTGTCATGTTTGATTATGAATTTGTACTTACATTTTAGGAAGCTTTCAAATGCCTGCTAATGGTCTAAAAAGCCTTTAGGAGCCTTAAATTTCAGAAATGGTGGGTGTGCACCTCACAGGCTGGGAGCCCCAGTGTTAGCAGAAAATATTGAAGTTGAAAAAGCAAGCTGATGGTTCGTTTTTGTCTTTGACCATATTTAGAACTGTGTGGTTTACTGGGAAGGGAAGCGCACCCAGAACATGAGCACTAGGGTCTGATCACAGTCTCTCACAAAACAAAACAAGACAAAACAAAACAAAACAAACCTGTGTTGCCACGGTTAGGTTGTCTAATCACCCTGTGCCTCATTTTCTGCTGGAGAGACCAAACAACTATAAGGTGAGAACATAATCTCTGAAATTAAAATCTCAGCTTTGTCAATCACTAGCTATAAAAAAAGCATCTGCCTTAGGGACACCTCAGTGGCCCAGTCAGTTAAGTGTCCAACTTCAGCTCAGGTCATGGTTCTTGGGTTCGAGCCCCATAGCGGGCTCAGTGCTGACAGCTCAGAGCCTGGAGCCTGCTTCAGATTCTGTGTCTCCCTCTCTCACTCTGCCCCTCCCTGTTCATACACACACACACACACACACACACACACACACACACACGCCCACACATACTCTCTCTCTCTCTCAAAAACAAATAAAATTTAAAAAAATAAAAAGTATCTGCTTTATAGAGAGTTATTGTGAGAATTCCTTCATTCATCTTATTTATTCAACAGATTGATAGGGAATATCTCCCATGTTATAGGAGTTGGGGATAGAGCAAAGGATTAGACCCAAATAGCAAGCACATATGCGAACATGTATGATGTTCACATATAGTGAGATACAGCAAGATGTGCTTTGATACCTCTGTGAAAGGTGGAAGTGAGAGGTGGGTGGATGGACAGTCACATGTAAGCTGAGAAGAGTTCTGAATGACAAAAGGAAATCAGACACAAGAGTAACAAGGGAGGTGGTGGCTCAGCCCAATATGACAGCAGTCATCATTGTCTCAGAGGCAGAGACAAGACATTGGTGGCACAGGGTGCCGGTATGGCTGGACCTCATAGCACAGGAGATGGGGTCAAAGGTAGCCTGGGAATAAGAGAGGCAAGGCTTATACTTTCCTTAGTACAGGGCCTGGCACATAAATATTAGCAAATTAGGTATTGTGATCATTTTCCCAAAAGGGTCTCAGAATGAAAAGTTTTCTAGTTATTTAACACCTTCATTTAAAATTAATAAGGGTCTCTAGAGAAGAATTAGATCACCATTTTGGGATATGACTTATGTTAGATGGTGATTGGATTGCATATTTGGGTTTTCATTGTGGCCACTTATAGGAAATTATTAAAAACACCTCTTTTTATCTTTTTCATGGAAATCATCCCTTTCTTATCTCGAGCTAATTTTCCTTCTGTCAGCTTCTCTCCCCAATTTACCTGGAATTTTTAAATCTACACCATTATGTTACTATAGTATTGTTGTCAAGTGCTACATATGTTAAAGTTTTTCAGAAAAATAATGCAATCCCATATCCTAAGTGAAATAAAGTGTCCACTCAAAGTAAATCAAGAGCTGTTCCACCAGAAAAAAAAAATGTTATGAAAAATCCACATTTGTAAATACTTACAAATAGGCATTAGAATTAGTTTCAGCTTCCCAAGACCATAAATTTGATTAATGAAGCTGATTATCTATTTATTTATTTATTTTTATTTTTATTTATTTATTTTTATGCAATAAACTTACTTGGGGGAAAAATTTAAGAAAATCACAACATTGGATCTTTTGGATTAGGGGCATTAGTAGCTATTTCAAAATCCATTTCTTCTGAAAGTTCTCCTTTTCCACAAAGTGAGATTTCCTACCTTGTGTGATTTTCCCCTCAGAGGTAAATAAAGACTGGGGACTAGAAAGTGTAGCAAGCTGCCTTTTTTTAATGTTAATTTTATTTTTAAGAGTGAGAGAGAAGTGTGAGGAGGGAGGGGCAGAAAGAGAAAGATAATCTGAAGTGGGCTCTGTGCTGACAGTAGAGAGCTTGATGTGGGGCTCAAACTCACAAACCTTGAGATCATGACCTGAGTTGAACTCCAAGCCTAACCAACTGAGCCACTCAAGTACCCCAAGCAAGCTGCTTTCTTAAGGTGTGGTAGGTAGTATTAAGGGTTAATGGCATGTTGATTTTGCAGGGGAAAGGTGTTCAGAGTTAGCAGACTTTGAGGTTTGAGTGCACAGTCCCTAGACTACCTGCATTTCTAACACCAGCTGCAAGTTCTGGCTTTGATAATTTGCTAGGACTGACAGACATCACTAAAAGCTATTATACTGATAATTCTGGCTTATTTTAGGGAAAGGATACATGCTAAAATCAGCCAAATGAAGAGACACATCAGACAGTGTCTAGCACGACCCCAAATGCTAAGCTTTTGGTGTCCTCAGGATGAATAAACCTCCTGACATTGATGTGTGGTAATACACAAGGACTATTGCCACCCAGGGAACCTTGCCAAGCCTCAGTGTCCAGAGTTTTTACTGGGGCTTCATTACATAGTCAGGACTGATGAAGGCACATGCAGTGGAGCTCAGTTGCTCAAGTTAGATCATACCCTGTGAATCAAATCTTCTACCTACAATTACACGGTTGATCTTTGTGATGTCGCCAGTCCCCATCCAAGACTATCAGTATGACTGGTCCCACTCTCAGATGTAATGTGGCCATCACCACCATAAACAAAAGTGTTTCTATCATGTATGACATTGGTTACCTGCCAGAAGCTGAGAGCAATAGCCAGATGAAGGGCAAGGCTACATTCTTGGAGCAGAAGGCAACAGGCATCACTGCCTGGATTCTGAAATCAGGTGTTCTAGAGTGTGTACATTCTGAAATCCAGTGTGTGAACTTACCCCTCACTCCTGGCCACTTTTGGGCCCAGTGCTCCTCTTCTGTTCATTGGAAATCATTATCTCTGTGAAGATTAAAGAACATGTAATGGCCACATAGGATTCACACACTGGCTTTCACTACTGCTGTTTTCATCATGTCAATGATTATTTACAGTATTATTTTATTATCCTCATAATTATGGTAAATATTTCTTAGGAATGCTCTTCCTACTTGAAGTAGCCAAAATATAAGTTCATAGTTTCTGGACATTTTTTCCAACTTGTTTTCTTTGTCTGACTACTCATGGGCTCTCTTTGTCTCTCGGTTTATGCATTCTTTGCTTCAGCAGGAATTCTTCCAATTTTACTGAGCTTTCCAAGATAGGAGAATGAAGAGTTTTCTTTTCTTTTTCCTGTGGATTCATTTGTTTTCAGAAATGCACTGGTGATGATTGTACAACTAAAGTAGCATAAGCATTTGTTGATGGCGTTATCTCGTTCCTTTTTAAATTCATAGCACAAAGACAGATGTGTGTGTGTGTGTGTGTCTGTGTGTGTGTGTGTAAATTCTCAGAAAGTACTCAAATTGCCTTAACTAAAGTAGAAAACCTTTTAAAAGATACTTGCTTAGGGTTGTAACCTTCTTTTAAATTGGCTGGTAATAAAATGGAAATACCACCAAATGTTGAGTATTGGAGGTCAAAACAGAAAAATAATATCGTCAACATTCGGATTTGTATGTATGGCAGATTTTATGAGAAAGATCATACTCAAGTATTCAACTTATTTTGAACACAACTTTCATTTTATAAAGACCCTTATGACAAAAAGAGCCCCTGTAATAGGATATGCATCAGTGAAAAGTTAGGTAGAGTTTATAATATTAAAAGTAATTACTAGAGGGGTGTCTAGGTGGCTCAGTGGATTGAGCATCCAACTCTTGATTTCAGCTCAGGTCACGATCTCACAGTTTGTGGGATCAAGCCCCATGTCAGGCTCTGCACTGACAGCTTAGGGCTTGCCTGCCATTCTCTGTCTCTCTTGCTCTCTTCCCGACCCTCGCCCCCCACCCCCGCTCGTGCATGTGTGCGTGTACACTCTCTCTCTCTCAAAAGTAAATAAACTTTAAAAAATATATTTAAAAAGATTAAGTAATTAGTACAGGCTTATTTATGCTTTTAAGGTTTTATTAATATAGCAGTGGTTTTCATACTAATGTTCATTCTGTCATACATGTTATTAGGCTGTTAACTGTGTAACTGAGCCTCATTGACAAAGCAATACCTGCAGAGCACGTATTGTAGACCAGGGAAGCAATCCCTGCTTTTTCTTCGTTTGCTTTAAAGAGCAGATACTGGTTGCTTATTTTTCTTCTTCAGTTCTAGAATACCTTTTCCTTATTATGATTGCTTTTTGGATGTCTCCCACCCCTACAGGTGAGCTTCTCTTACAAGGTCCAGTGTTCATCAGAGAGCCCAGCAACAGCATTTTCCCTGTTGGTTCAGAGGATAAAAAAATAACTTTAAATTGTGAAGCAAGAGGCAACCCTTCACCTCATTACAGGTACAGTGGAAAGTTTGCAAATCCAAATTAAGAAATAACAGTGTGGCCATTGTGATTTTGGGGTTTTTTTTGCTTCAATATATGTATGGCATCCGTAAGAAATAATACACGAAACTGCAGTTGTATGCTATGTTCAGCAGTTCTGATACATAAACATTGGATCCATACTGTATATATTTGATTCATTATTCACTTTACAATGAGATTCCTTGTTTTAAAAAAGACGTAGAAGAATATCTTAAATAAACAATGCATTTTCACTGATTTATAGTGCAATTTAATTTATAAATTCATTAGTTTACGTGCACTTGTTGGGAACATATCCAAGGTGGGGATAAAATCAAATGTTTCAAAGGTAGTTAGAAGTCATAGTTTTTAAAAAAGTTACTTTTTGGCTATTTGTACTTCTTTCTTTACCATTTTACCGACCATGTGTGTGAAGGTTTTACTAAGTATAGGGGAATAAAGTACATTCTTACTAAAGTTATTTTCATTATTCTAAAAGAGAAATTATATTAGTTTAGTAGATTTTTTTCATGTAAGAGTATGTATTTTTCAGATTACATGAATAATACTTGTTCACTGAAAACCATCAAACATCACAGAAAGGTATAAGGGAAAAAAGTCTGAATTCCCATCTGCTTAAGATAAAAATATTAAGATTTGGAGGTTGATGGTGGATGATTTGGATGGGATGGGTATTTACTTTTTTTAAAAAAATCACAAGATTAACTATTTTTACTGTTATGTGTGCTTAGGTGACCCAATTTAATGAAGAAATGAATTATTTATAAACAGCATATGCTGCTTTCATATAAGTGGCAATGAGAAAGTGCTCAAGGCACCTTGAGAACAACATGCTCTTTTGAATACTGTGAGCATTTGTCTCGAAAACTCTGTTTATAATATTAGTTTCTTGGCAAAACCTCCTCTGTAATCTGCAGAACAAGCATACTTCAGGCTGTGTTAATAAAATTCTAAGTGGTAAGAGTACTAATGCAGACCTTATAGAACTTCTGTTGTTTTCTTAATCCATGTAAATAATAGAAGCCAACATTCATTGTTCAATTGGGTCAGCATCGGGTTAGAAGGTAGACCTTTGTATTTTTACATCTGGAAGTAATCTAAGTTAGTCTCTTTCAATAATATTCAAAGATATATTTATTGAGCACCTGTTGTGTACTTTCAACAGAATACACAATGATTCCAGGTTACTGGTCAGAATTGACAGAGGTGCTAAAAAGTTTTCTCTCTGCCTCTTCCTCACGCTGTAGAAATAAGAAAAGTATAACATAAAGTTAAAAAAATACAAGAATCTGTATTTTATGAGTTAGTTCAATTAATCAAACTTGAGCATATTTAACATCTGAAAATATTTTCTTCTTTGGAAGAAAGATGAATACATCAACTTTAATAAAAGACGTTATCCTAGAAACATTTTTTTTGCCAGCATTTTCATTCATCTATTCATTTCTCCCTGAAACAGAAGATTATCCTTTTAGATATGACTGTAATATGATAAAGAATCCATATGAATGACTCATCTGTGGGCTGTTTCTCTGTTGTCAGTGAAGTTGTATTCCTAGCATTTATCTTATGAATAATTTGATGATAAATGTGTTCAGGGGAAAAAGATTTAGTCAGACAAGAGTGTTTTTCTAAATTAACAGTTTAATTGTATTTGTAAACTTTTATCAAATAGCAAGAAGTCTTGAGGTCAGAAATCCAGAAATAGCCTGTTGTTGCGTTAATTTCTTTATATATCAGGTATTTATTGTAATGCCAGAGAGTGTCTTTAAACATACTGATGCCATGTGTAAAATGTTGATGAAGAGGTCCTGCCATTTACACAGTGCCTCTTAGGTTTTATGCTGTGGCCTGGGATATGGTGTGTTCCAATTTAAGCAGAATCTGTACCTGAGACCAGGAGATATGCGACTTAAATTGATCCATCAGTTTTGTGTCTGACAAATGAAGAAATTTAACATGGTAGATATGGTTCTAAAATACTTGGTTTGTAGCCAGATTGAGCAGACACTTTCATTATAGCTCTAAAGATTCTCTAAAGTTAAGACTTGTAACCAGTATAAAATTCCACTTAAACTGAAGGTTTATAGTCACTAGAAGTCAAGACCTTGAAAAAAAGCATAAGGGAACCTCTTTACATTGTGAAAATACAAGGCTTTCCTGTAACAACAACTCCCCGTTATTCATGTTATCTGTGTAAGACGTTATGCCGAAGGAATAAATGGGAGTATACAACCCTGTAGGCTGTAATTATGACCTTATCTACTTAGGCAACACCTTCAGTTATGGCCTGATTTTTTTCTCCTATCTTTTGACTTTAATAGTCAATCATGGAATAGTTTGTAGAATTCTTTAAATATTTCAGGAGAAAATATGCTTGCTTGTTCTTATTTTTTAACTATCCTTTAGAAACTACAGATAAATGGTATAAATATGGAAAAGCACTGAAGTTGGGGATTTGCTTTTTGACATGACATCAGAGAAAGGATATATTTTTATAAGGGTTTATAAGGATAAGCAGTTAGATAGATAGATGGATATCAAGGGGAAAATCAGTGGTTCATGTGAAATTTACAAGTTGAAGACAAATCCAACCCTGTTTCCCAAGATTTGAAATAAAGTTTAAGAGTCTGAAAAAGAATACCCTTTGAAAGCCCACAGCCTATCTTGTAGACTGGGGCAAATTTGTCTGATGAGAGATATTTTCTTGGTTCTCCCATTGGGTAAAAAGAACTCTTAATTGGCCATATTAGATATCCAAAAGTTCAGAAATTCTCAGGAGAAATTACTTGTGTTAGGGTTTAATTGAGAATTTTATTCTTCTCCCCACCCCATCTCCCCACCTAAGCCCCAAAGCCTATATTTAAAGGTTAATTAGTATTTATTCTCATTGTAATTGCTGATGATGACAGAAGAGATTACCCTGAGGGAGTATTAGTAACTTTTTTAAGTGGGAGGGATTTTCCCTGACTTTTCGTAGGGTTATAAATGCCCATTATTTCACAATTTGCTCACATGGAAGACCCCAGCTAAGTCACTTCTACTGATGCCATTCAGCCTTTAAAGGAACCACATGTTTGAGACAGACTGGGGCAAAATATGTAGATACCTAATGGCGACCAGGCAGGTAAAAAGCTCAAAGAGGTGGATGTGCCTTGAGAACATATAGAGACATTGAGTAATGACTGGAAACTATCCAACATTCAGCCACAAGCCTATTGAATGGTGACAACTGCTTCTCAGCACTAGCCAGTGATTACCATCCAGGAATCCTGGTCCAGTACAACAAAAGCTTTTCAAGAGATGTTTTAAAATTCAGGTGTTTTCTCTTTGGAATCTCTTGTAATGTAGGCCAAAGAAAATAAGTCTTAAAGTGAAATGTGGCCCACATGGGTTTTATGTTTTCAACATTTATTCTAGCTTGAGACTTACGAGTTGTGTTGTCCAATGTGGTAGCCAGCAGCCCAAAGTTGACCTGGGAGACTTAAATCAGTTACGTTAAAAATGTATTTCCTCAGTCAGAGCAGCTTTATTTCAAGTGCTGAGTAGACATGTGGGGCTAATAGTTACTGTATTGGAAGGAACCAAAGACCATTTTTATGCTTCCATAAAGTTCTGTTGGATGGCTCTGCTCTAGACTGATCCTTGAATCCACAGCTTTTCTGTTTTTTTTGTTCTCCCAAAAAGGAAGTAACCACAACCTTATTGTCTTCCAGCTCTATATAATAAGTAAACTATGTTAATAAAGTACACTGTGAACAATATTGGATATACAAGTTATATGGACTAAGTATCTTTGCAAAATATCATCTCCCCTGGCCACGGTTTCTCCATTTTAGGTATGGTTCCCTGTATTGGAATTTACTGAAAATCAACTAAATGCATTCAGTTTAAGGTAGAAGAGGAAAATAAGAGTGACTAATTGCTGCTCACCATTTATTGAAAGGGTAAACTGTAAGGAAAAAAAATCTGAGTTTTCTTGTTGCCCATATATACACAGTCACACACACACACATATGTACACACACACCACATATTACTGTACATGGTACCACATGTAGTAATACATATGGCTCCATATATGTACTACATTTGTATGCACTATATATGCTATATATATTCTACATGTAGAGCATGTATAATATTTTGATTGTATGCACTTTTTCCCTTACAATATCTTGTTGCCATGTAAGATCTGATGTCACTGTTATTTCACTTTTATGCTGCAAGACAAATAAGTGTTTTTGTTCCTCTAAGTTCTTTTGGCCTGGGGTGCCTGGGTTGCAGTATAGCCACCGGTTGAGCATCCAACTTTGGCTCAGGTCACGATCTTGCGGTTCATGAGTTCAAGCCCCGCGTCGGGCTCTGTGCCGACAGCTCAGAGCCTGGAGCCTGCTTCAGATTCCGAGTTCCTCCTCTCCGCCTCACCCCTGCTTGTGCTGTGTCTGTCTCTGTCTTTCAAAAATGAATAAACATAAAAAAAATTTTTTTAATAAAAAATAAATTCTCTTGGCCCTTTGGGAGACAAAATCCTTTCTGCTGGATTAGTAGGCCTGATTCTCTGTGTTTATCTTCATGCTCAACAACTTTTAGCATCCCGACTTCTCCAGCTGATCAGTTCTGGTCCCCACACCTACAGTCAGCTGTATGAGCAATGACATGTTCACATGGTTGGCATGATTGCTCACCATTAAAGAGTAAAGAATATCTATAGTGCCGGAGGGAGGTGGAGGTAGACAGCATCTTTTACAGAGCATTCTAAACTTGGCTATGTTACTGCCTCTCTCATGAAGCCTTCTTAATATCCGCTATACTGGGGTCCATGCTCCAATGATATAGTGCCCATTTTACGCCATACCTACTTGCATGATAAAACTTACCAAAATAAATGTGTGATTGTCTTGGTAGGATGTAACCCCCTTAAAGGTGAATACGATTTGTTCTTCACCCTCACCTTCCAAATGCCTAGCAAA